ACTGTTTATGCGTGTACATACAAAAATAATAGCTGAAGGCATGGCGCCAGAAAGGAGGGTCAGAGACCGAGAAACCGAAGATGGGCACAGGATATAAGTGGCTTCTTAACTACCATGATGGGAGCTACGTTTTGTAAAGGACCTGCTAAATGATGACGTGTTCATATACTATAGAATTAATCAAAATCAAGATAGATAAGACAGCAGTAACAATACACAGATTAACAAAAAAGAGTTTGGGAGAACAGAAAGCTCACGATTAAAACAAAAACTCCTGACTGTAAGACTTGGGCTCTCAGAAATCGTCTTTATGGCAGTGAAACTTGTTCAACTCTTTCGGACCAGGAGAGACGGCTAAATTGCTTTCATGTGAAAGGCCTAAGAAGGCAACTTGGCATTATGATGCAAAACAAGATCACAAACGCCGAGGTGTTGGAAAGAGCAGGTATCACAACAGTTTTTTTTTTAATGCCTAGTCTCCGAAGACTGGGTCACAAATAGAAAATTGGAGGATATTAGAGTCTCTAAGGACATCCTCTGTGGTGAATTACAGATGTGTAGAAGGTGTCGAGGTGTCTGCTACGGTGCCATGGAGTGTTTTGTTTGGAAACATGTGGGGGGGGGGGTGGTGGCAGTAAGGTAATGGGAATAAATCAAAATATGCTGAATGTCGAATTAAGAATCAGTATCACTGCACTCGGGACACCCCCATAAGCGCTCCGTCCCCATCTTCAGCAGCAAGCAAAGAGTTCTAATTCCGATGGTACCAGTAACTATCGGATTTTTACATCCGTCTCGCCTTTTCCCTGAGTGTTGGACGCCAGCCAGATTCTTTTGTAACTCCTCGCAGCGCTATTCTCACCAGACCGTAATTATATATCTGTGCCTCCACACTGTTCAGTCACTCCCAAAAAGCCCTCACAACATCCAGCTTGTCATACATCATTTCACCACCAAGCAGTGCAGAACCGACCAGTCTATCTGACTTCTAATATCCCAACACACTGGCATAGCCTGGAGAAAATATCAGAAGGATGCTAACAACCCAGGACCTCTGAAGTAATGCTTCAGATGAAAAATTATCTCAGATAGGCTGAGAGCTGAGTGTCCATGAGAAAAAGCACACTAATTATTCGTTGTTGTTGTTGTGTTAATTCATTTTAGACATAATCAAATATTAATGTCTTAATGTAATCAAATATTAATGTCTTTATGTAATCAAATATTATTGTCTTTATGTATCAAATATTGATGTCGTTACTGAACATATGTTTCTGTCTTTTTATTTCAGACAACTACTCTCATTGGCTTACTGAAAACTGCAAGGCTACTTCGTTTGGTGAGGGTGGCCAGAAAATTGGACAGATACTCTGAATATGGAGCAGCAGTGCTTCTACTTCTTATGGCAACCTTTGCCCTCATTGCCCATTGGCTGGCGTGTATTTGGTATGCCATCGGAAACATGGAGCGGAATATGGGCATGGACAAAACACCCAGAATTGGTTGGCTTGACGAATTAGCCAGGCAAACGCATCAGTACTATAACCTATCAGACGCCAGTAGTGGTCCAACGATCAAATCTAAATATGTCACTGCCTTATATTTCACATTTTCCAGTTTAACCAGTGTGGGATTTGGCAATGTGTCACCCAACACGAACTCTGAGAAGATTTTTTCAATCCTTATCATGCTTATAGGCTGTAAGTTGCATGGTTTATTTCTTTTTTTACTTTCTGAGTGAATATTATATAAATGGACATGTAATCAACGTAAACATGTGTCTCTAAACAAAGACCAGCTATAACCCAGTAGCCTTACAAGTTTAACGTTATTTACTTTACCAGCGGATGATTTTTTAATCTGAATTTAACCATCAAAAGTATCCTTTTCATGCTTTTTCAAAGGGTATATTGTGATAGACCCATCTTTTTGTAGATCTTATGGCACTTGGTGGATGATGCTCTCAACATAATGCAGACCACAATTACTTAATAGGACATTTTTCTAGTACCGATTTTGAGCTGGGCCAACCAGAGAGGCCCTGGCCAGTTATCGAGATTAAGTTGTTGTTCAAGTCCAGAGGATCTACTTCATCGGGCTGGGTTATCCTATATAACTTGTTCTCTCTGGGCCATAAGCTGCTTTTTGATCAAAGGGATGTGGTGAAGACTTCTGTGATCAAATGGACAGTGCAATAGGACAGATAGAGAATCCATACACAGAAAGACTAATTTAGTGTTGGGTGAGCAGAGGTTCTGGAAGATTTAGGACACAGAGGTGGAAACAAAGGCAGACTTTTAATCAGGCTGCAACTATACTATTAGCATGTCAACTCTTCATTGGTTACTGGAAAAGGAGAAGGAGCATGTGTAAGAATGTCTTGAGTGCAGTGATGTCTATTCTTGATTCATTTATTCGTTTACCTCAGAATGGCTAGCCACCTGAGATTGTTGAATAAAGCATTGACTTCATAGGTCCAGCAAAGCTCTCTATGGATCTCCATGAAAACTGCAGTTGTAAACTAATGATAACTTCAAAATATGAACCCAGTTTTTTTAGAGTTAATTTACATTTGAATACACACACAAAAATTACATTTTAAAAAAAAAAAGAAAGAGAATTAAGGATTGTGTGGGCGGTGTAGGTTTTGGGTGTGTGTCTGTGTGTGTTTGAGTGTGTGTGCATGTGTGTATTTGTGTAGGTGAATGATACCACTGACCCCTTAAATTTCGTTCTTGAACCCCCAGTGGTCAGCAGATCACCGTTTTGGAAACCTTTGGCCTAGACATTGGGCTGGAGTCTGTTGACAGTGAAATAACTACAACATATGGGGGAAATAGTATAAAGCATAAACCTAACTCCGGGCCTCATCTTATGTGCTGGGTGGAATCATGACTAATTTACACCCTAGTGTGCTGTTTTATAGATGTGACATTCGAGTATGACTCTTGCACACCCACCAGTTTCTAAGCCTGTAAATTGTGTCTTCTTCTTCTTCTTCTTTTTCTTTTTCTTCTTCTTCTTCTTCTTTTTCTTCTTCTTCTTCTTCTTCTCCTTCTTCTTGTTCTTCTACTTCTTCTTCTCCTGCTTCTCCCCCCCCTCCTTTCCTTCTTCTACTTCTTTGTATTCACCAGCTGTAAACCTCTGATGAAAAGTTCTGATTATTCATCTACTTCTGGACTTTTATCTTGTTCCAGAACTTCAGTTCTGCATGCATATCCGTTTTACAAATCTGGCTTATTTGTATGCAGAGTATTGATTCTTTGCCTCTCAGGAAGATGCATAAAACACCCCCAGTCAAACAATATGCTAGTTAGAGGAGCTGTGGGTACCCCATCCCCATCCCTAATAGGAGTCCCAGAACCTACAGTTGATGAGTGTTGAAATGAGAATGAGATCTTTGCAACACAGTTCAGCTGAGATGGCAGTTGAGGTTCTGTTTAGTATAAAATCTTCTACATCCGTCTTTCCCATTTAGTGACGTTTGAAAACAGGGATGCTACATGCAGAGTGGCAGGTATCGCTTCAGAGGTCTCGGGTAGTTAGCATCCTTTGGATATTTTCTCCAGGTTAATGCTGGTGTGTTGGGAAATGAGCAGGCAGATAGACTAGCTGGTTCTGCACCGCTTGGTGAAATGATGCATGACAAGCTGATTGTTGTAAGGGCCCTTTGGGTGCAAGTGAAGTGCAGAGGCACAAATAGATCACTACGGTCTGAGAATGGCCATGCGCGGAGTTACCAGAGCATACAACTGATGCTCAGCACTCAAGAGATAGTAATGTGGTTTCTCTTAATAGTATCCCACTCCACCAAGTGGAGTCATACACAATTTTGGTCAGTTATGTAGATAAATTTGGGGGAACTTATAGACATATTAAAATATGAATCATCGTTAAGGGCCTTGCAGACTGGCGGGGGTGATCATGCTTATCTGCAATTGCAATTGTATGTATCAGTTCGTGTTTTGACACCCCTTCATGCCATGACAAAAGACTGTCAAAAATCATCTCATGCTGTCTTTCCTCTGTCTCTCTTTCCACAGATCTTTGCAGTGGTCACAACATCCATTTTCCCTCTTCTCATAATGGGACTGTCTCTTTCAAGCATTTGCCTCTTGTGAAAATATGTGATAAGTTGTCTTCAATCTCCGCATTGAAATTGCCTCTCTTTTGTCCAGGCTTTACTGCCGTTGCTCTCTTATAGCTAAGAATTCTTTTCCACCTTCATTCTAAAGATTCTTCCATAAGTAAAAACCAGCCATCTCAGACGCGAATTCTAGCCTCATGAAATTGAATTCGGGGAAGTATCTTACATCCAATGTTTATTAATTGTCCAACAAGCCAACAATTCGCATACAGCTGCCACATGTTAAAATTGGCTCTAGCTGAGATATAAAAAGACAAGTAATACCGACATTTTTTTGTCCTTATTAACAAAAGAACTTCAGTTACATGGATTTTGAGAGTGGCATACAGATAATCGAGTCCATGTCACAAGAACTGGGAACCAGGTTAGGAAAAGAAGTCTTGGGTTGGTCACCTAATAGAATGGAACCAACGATGCTAGCATTTTAACAAGAGGCGGCTGGATTGAAGGAGTGTTCAATTGAACTATAACAACGGCGAACAATGATCTTTGAATACCTGAATACAAAAGGCAAAAGGAGCAAGCAGATTTCAAAAGCGAAGAAGAATAAACACTAAGAAATGTATGGAGGTCAAAAGAAAGCGCAACTAAAAAATGATCAAAAGAAACTAAAACTGATGTTGAACTTTAAGTTTTTAATTCTAATGTCAGATCAGTACTGGTGTAGGGAGTGGAAGGCAACTACTAATTAATTACATACATTTATTTACTGGTGCCTGGGTAAAATAGGGGAAACTAAATGATATGATGGAATCACTAATACTGAGATGTGGGAGAGAACTAAACAAGTTCCAGTGGACCAAGAGGGAAAGAAAAGATATTGGCTTTGCATACCACACATTGAGAAAAACAGAGAACAATATAACTAGAAAGTCTTTGCACTGGAATGTACAGGAGCAAAGAAAAAAAGATGGTTTTTAAAAAAAATCCATGGAGAAGGAAGCTGAGAATGACGTTAAAAAGACATGAGGACAGCTGCATGCAATAGCAAAGGATAGAACGACTTGGTGTGAGTTGGGGGAAAGAAGGCAGTAGAAGAGGATCCTTTTATATTCTATAGCCAGATTTAAGTAGTAAATGTGGGGGGTCTTCTTGATGAAGTTTTCTGAAGGTCATTGGTTTTTTTTTTAACTCAGTTGTCCCATTTAATTGCTTTGTTGATTCCTGGGGGATCATTGGAGTTGGAGCTTGTGAAGCCCATGCTTTGTGTGACACTCTCATCAGACAGGCAGATACTCTGCAGAGAGAGACTGAGCCAAGTAGAAATAAACCAGGTGCAATGACGTCGATACTGTCACCTATAAATACCTGTTAACGATATAATCAGTATCTTTAAAAGTTTTTAATTATTTTCCTTTCTCCTGCAGCACTAATGTATGCAAGCATCTTCGGTAATGTTTCGGCCATTATCCAAAGGTTGTATTCTGGCACTTCCCGCTACCACACCCAAATGCTCCGAATAAAGGAATTCATTCGGTTCCACCAGATCCCAGAATCCTCTGAGACAGAGACTGGAAGAATATTTTCAGCATGCCTGGTCCTATACAAATGGTATAGACATGAATATGGTAAGCAGCAAACATGTTTTAAATGTTTCTATATATTAATATGCGGCGTCCGTGGCTAAGGCGTTGCGAGTCCGACTCGTAAGCCAACATACCGCAATCGAAACCCACTGCAGGCTGCGTGGATTTTTGTCATGGTATGGGACGTTGCAGGTCGACCCAGCCTAAAATGGGTACCAGGATGGGCTGTCCTGGGAAAGTAAAGACAGCCGGCGTAATGCTGACCACATTACCCATAGAGTGCTGATGGTCTGTAAAAATATGGGACGCTCTGCCCATATGCCTGATGTGCCAAAAGGCGTAAAAAGGGACCTTTACTTTACTTTTTTATAGTTTAATATTCTGTAGTAGGCACAGATAGATGGTCATGATCTGAAGATAATAATGCAGTGAGGAATGACCAGGGGATCTGGCCAGCACTCATGGAAAAGGCAAGAATAACCTACAATTAGACTCGGGTAGCTTTGGAATTATAACTTTGTGCTGGCTGCTGAAGATGGGAAAAGAGTGCTTATGTGAATTCTGGAGGGCTATGGGTTTTTTCCTCAGCTGAAGTCAGCTTTATTCTTTACTGTGTTTTACTTGTATACTGTTATTAACTTTAAACAGTAATTTGATGAGTGCCAAGCTTTTGCTTAAGGGTTCAAATATAGCTTTGAAACACAAGGACAGTGGCTGATTCTATTTGGGTCATTGTTTGCCACAGAAATAGTTCAAGGCTGAATATGGTAGTCATGTCTACTTCTGCTTTAATCTTTAAGAGGGTGGTTGGCATGATGTGTTTAGGTTTACACACTGGCTGCAAAATGTGTGTCTTTGAGCCTCAGACATCCGTTTTCAGATAATTTTACTAAGCAACTATTTCCAATTTCGTCCTTTTCAGGACGAAATTTTTTGTTATTTGAAGCCCCACCCTGGCTTTTGCCAGGGGCCGCAATATAGGCAGGCCATAAATATGGCCAATTGTCTGAACACGGTTTCTGGGACCTCTCCACGGCGATCCTCATCCGCACGGTGGCACTTTGTGTCATTGGGTGTTTATCGCTTGTGTGATGTCCTAGTGGGGTAGAAAGTCAGTCAGTCTTTCAGCAAATCTCTAATTGGTCGCCATTCACAATATGTTTTGGAGGGGGTCTATTCTTTTTGTCCCCTAATATGGAGACCCAGAGCCCAACCTATATTGGGATGTAGGTAGGTATATCATGCTTTTCATTCCTTAAAACATTTCTGTATTGAAGCTGAAGAGTAGGCAATACATTTTTTTTCTTTCTTAATTTTTAACATAAAAGTACTGTGTAGTACCAAATATAGTCGGTATTTGAGTATTTAGCAGACACTGGTGGATTGGCTGACAACCTTGCAGCATAGAACTGATGTTATCATTCACCACATGCTTTTTTCTCCAATCTGACCTTGGCTTCCAGGTTAACTGAACCAAATATGGGTACCAGCTTGTGTCCTTGGAAATAATAGTGGCTAGTGTGATGCTGACTTCATCACCCATTCAGTGCAGACTGATCTATAAAAAAATTAGGTCTAGTACTATATTCCTGATGTGTCAAAGGCATTTAAATGATCCTTTACTTTTAATAGAGTAAATAATATTACTGAAGCTGCTCTACCCAACCAGACATGCATGCCCTACTTCCAATGTTTCCCAGTTTGTGATCTGTGCACACCCAAGGGTCCGCCGACCATGAATTAAAGCAGTCCATAATATTATCTACCCAAAAAAAATCTACCTACTGTTTTCGAGATTCTGATAGAGATTTACTTTCTTGTTGTTGTTTAAATGACTATGAAATGTATGAAAAAATAGAGGGTCCACTGGTCTTATCTAATAGAGAAACCACTGCTATAATCAATCAAGACAACACCATGTGTTTTCCTCCTGAAACTAGCAACACAAAGCTTTTATTTAATCTAATCCACCCCTTCTTTTAGGGGTGTGGGGGGTGAAAAAGCGGGTGGGTGGGACTTCATCATGTATTCACTCACGAAATTTCATTTGCTGTGACACAGCATCACCTCTGCTGCCCCACTTGTCCTGTCAATACCACATAACAAGATTAAGCAACCACTTGGCTGCAAGTTATCACTTACTGTCACATCAAGTAATTGGACTTTCTCCACCAAAGAGAGTAATCACAAGACCTCCTGCTTCCTGCCCCTTTAACCATTTGTAGAAATTATCTTTTAAATAATATGTTTATTCTATGATTGCATATTACTTCAAGTATTTTATTGTATGTATTTGCCACAGATCACATTATCAATAATAATACGTTGCATGGAAAATACATATAATAATATAGCAGAATTGAATGAAGTCATAAACAAATACTATTAAAAAGAATATATTTACGTGTTCAAGAAGGGCCTCTAAGCCCCTTTACAAAATCATGGGGCCTTCTCAGCCCCTCCCCCCCCCCCCCCCCCCTTTCCACCCTATCCCAATGTTTGCTTTGTGTTGGCAAGAAAAGATATAAAAACCGAACAAAAAGTATATTAGCTAGTTTCACCTTGCTGCTTAAACATCAGCATTCCACATATATGGCATTTGTCAAGGGGAGAAAAGAGTATTTGTGGGCATCCCAAGATTGCTATGGTGTTTTAATTCCTTTGATGTTTTGATTCCTCTTTTTTTTTTTCAGTGATGAATATTGTTTACAGATTGTCTTGTAAATGTCTTGAGTTAATTACTTTTTCATCTGCAGGTTTTAAAAAGCTTCCCAGAATGCATACAAGCAGATGTATGTTTACACTTAAATCGGAACCTCCTACAAAACTGCCCAGCATTTAAAAGTAATATTCATTTGTTTTGTTGCACTGAAGTTTATTATTTTATGTTACTGTTTTCAACATTTCTGATTTTCTCTACTAGCCTTTCAGAAGGAGGCAAACATGCATCAGGAGAAAGAGAAAGCTGGAGTGTACCATGACAGTGGAAAGGTTGGAGGGTAGACAGGCAGTTGGAATCCAAAAGAGAAGATGCTGATAGGGGATTAAGGGTGGATCAAAACAGAGAGAAATTGTTCAACATTTTGACAGTGGAAAAAAATTTTTTCTCAAAGTCCATGTGACATTCGTAGTTATATCTAACCACAACCTTTTATCTCATGTATTTTCAGTCACTTATAGTGCAGAAGTTCTTACGTGCCATGATATCAAACTGTCCAGCATTTTCTCTCTGTCTCCCTCTGCCTCTTTTCTCCTCCAACTTTTCTACCATCACAATGTGCTCCATTTTTCTTATTTTACTGATATGACCAAAGAATTTAAATCGCCATGAAAAAACGACACTACAGAATTGATCCTGCCCTACAAAGTGAACATCTAGAAGTATTGCATAAAAATCTCATAAATTATAAATGACAAATAAAGGAGAGAAGGTATCAAACTAAGAGCTGAAAATAAGTTACTAAACAAAAAATCTACAAATAACATTTTTTTATGCATTTAAAAAAAAAACCAACACAAATATTTCAGAGGGAAAAGTAGGAAGGAGGCATGCAATGAGAGAGATAGAAAGATTAAAATCATAGGCCAGGAACGTGGGAGATAACTCTTGAATCCCTTCCTGTTAATAATTTGATACGGGCACTTTGAGACACTCTGTGGTGTGTATCTGCATTATTTTCCTTGACAAAAGGTCCCAGTGGTAACTAATTTTATCTATTACCAGTTATTTGTGTTATAAATTATTGTATGTGTGTTTGAACAAAGAAGATTAAAAAAAATGACTGCACAATTTATTGCATGGCATATTTTGGTGTATCGTCTTTTGCAGACTACAGTAATGATTAATTAAGTTGAAGCACACATTTGAATCCTTCTAATTGAAACAGAAAAGTGACTACATTCAAAAGTAAATGTCTGTTCCACCAAAACAATTGCAAGTTCACGATTATATCATTTTGTTTGCATAATTCTGGACTGATTCAGTTGATTATCATGACTTCCATATAGCAGAGCCTTCTGCAGTTGTTTGAGATATACATAATTTGAAATGCATCGTCCTTGTTTACAATGTGACCAGAATTCAAAAGGTTGTGTGGGATGGACAAGGGGTGATCTTTTCAACCTGTCACATGAATCTGTTTCTTGACTTATTGTTGTAGTTAATATTTTACATTGTACATATATTTGATTTGTGTCAAATTTTCCCTGCTCATGTCTAATAACTCACGTAGTAAATCTTTATGTAGGTGCCAGTCCTGGATGTTTGCGAACATTGTCCATGAAGTTCAAAACAACACACGTACCACCTGGCGACACCCTAGTACACAGAGGAGATGTGCTAACAGCAATGTATTTTATCTCTCGGGGATCAATTGAAATCCTAAAGGATGACATTGTTGTTGCTATACTTGGTATGTAGTTTTGATCATACAGTGCATTGGTAAGCTGTTATTGTTGTCACAACCACAGTGCTTGCTCACCAGTCCATTATTATATAATATTAAAAGATGTATGAATGAAATTATGTATAATTTTATGTATAATTTACCCTTTCATTATCATAATCATAGTTAAAAACACCTGACTAAAATAATTTGATAGCTTCAGCCACAGAAAGTCTCATTTTGCAGCGTGTGCTTGTGTTTTAAACATTGGTATTTATGTTCAGTTGGAAACAAAATCAGAAATTTCACTGTCTGAAACTGACACTTGCAATAAATTTGACACTGATGCTCCTAAATGTACACACAAAGAAATGTAAACAAACAAAAACATTAAAGTAATCTTACATTACTTTCTACATTGTTTGAAACATTAAAAACTAGTACGAAACAGTGTGTGAATCAATATCTGGGGGACATACAATCAACGCAGACCGTGTTGTTTGGGCCTGATAGAGTTGAGATTCATGAAGAGAATCTTCTTTCTGTAAATATGAAATCATTTAACAACATTTTACCTTACACCTGTTGTTTTCTTATTTCTCTGTCCAGGTAAAGATGATGTGTTTGGGGAGAATATATGCATTCATGAAACGGTTGGGAAGTCTAGCTGTAATGTTCGAGCACTGACATACTGTGATCTTCATAAAATTCATCGCAGTGATTTACTTGAAATTCTTGACATGTATCCAGAGTTTGCTGAAGAGTTCAGGAAAAATCTGGAAGTAACATTTGATTTAAGAGATGTGAGTATGGACTGAATATTCTGCATAACATGATTACATATTTGTGATGTTCTAGTATGTGTGTGTATATATATATATATATAGATAGTTATATAAATAAAAGAAAAGAAAAGAGGTCAGTAGTCAGATATGCACACTACTTGACTCATAAAGAAGTACTAAAATATGATTTGGAACATTAGAGACAGGCAATGAAATTAGAAACAAATCAACTGAGGATAGAAGGACGTTTTAGAGAAACCATGAGACAACACTGTTAAAAGAAGCCAAAGGTGTTGCACTGGAGTCTCTCTATAAGATCAAAAGATTGCATAGAATAGAATGGAATGAAGGACAAGATTGTGAGCCTTATGTGACATACAGTGGCATGACAGGATTGTGATGATGATGATGATGATAATGATTTAGTCAGATTAGTTATAATCAAGATATGTTAGGAATATTATGAGAAAAAAAATTAATTTAAAACTTGGTGACAACTCCCAGAGGAGAAGAAAAAGTGATAAATACCTGGTTGGCTCTGATTAATATCCAGTTTCGTCCTTTTCAGGACGAAATTTTTTGTCATTTGAAGCCCTACTCTGGCTTTTGCCAGGGGCCGCAATATAGGCAGGCCATACATATGGCCAAATGTCTGAACGCGGTTTCTGGGACCTCTCCACGGCGATCCTCATCCGCATGATGGCACTTTGTGTCATCGGGTGTTTATCGCTTGTGTGATGTCCTAGTGGGTTAGAAAGTCAGTCAGTCAGTCGTGAGACATAACTGATCAATTAATTGTAAGCTGAACTTTGACAGCATTTTATGCACAAATTTAGTTTAGATTTCTTTACATATATTTGGAATTTAAATCTGAATTGTGAGAATGTATCAGTTATACTGGGCAACATTATAATATGTGCTGATAATTGTAATGTGATAAACAAATTAGAATAACTCTAAAACTAAATGATTACAAATCAAAAATAATAAAATGTATGATATAATTAGATGACACAAGTAATAGTATCTCAGCAAAATGCATAACTAACATTATTTGTATCAGTCTAGGGTAAGTACATGCATCTGAATATTTAGATGCATGAGTAATAGAAAGATTCTTTGAATAACTGGATTAACTAGAATAAACTACTAAAAATCTGATGTGAACATCAAAGATAAATCAATCATAAAGAGCATCATGTCTCAGAAACTGAAATACTTAGGCCATATGTAGACTCAGATGCAGCAGCTTAGAATATGTGCAGGTCTAACACTTTATATCTCAATTTTTATGGAACACACTGTACCTAATGGCAAAACATACTGAAGAAAGAAGAGCTGACAGATTCTTGCATTATTGAATAGGAAAAAATGAACACGTGAATGGAGATCACAGCTTATGGAGAAGCACAATCACCTGTCCTTCATTTTCCCAGCCGAGGCCAGATTCAGGTCATTACTTAACTGGCAGGTACCCTAATGTAACTGTTCAATGTGACTGAACAGGATTTCTGGGACTTGTACCGGTATAATTCTCATCCTTGAGGTGTTCATCCTACTGACTGTGATGCCCTGCAGGAGAACAATTACCAACCAACCATAATTATATCTTTCTTCTTCTTTTGTCACCTAACTGATACTAGGCTGTAAACTAATGTCATGGGTTTTTGTGTGTATTTGTCTTTGTGCAGATTTCAGCTACATCATTTATCCATCTCTTTCTTGGTTTTCCCCTCACCTTTCTCCCAGATGTTCTGTTGTAAAGAGTCTCATATGCAACTGAGGATAGAAGGACGTTTTAGAGAAACCATGAGACAACACTGTTAAAAGAAGCCAAAGGTGTTGCACTGGAGTCTATAAGATCAAAAGATTGCATAGAATAGAATGGAATGAAGGACAAGATTGTGAGCCTTATGTGACATACAGTGGCATGACAGGATTGTGATGATGATGATGATGATAATGATACTAACAGTAAATGATTTAGTTTTGTGCCTGTGCAGATTTCAGCTACATCATTTATCCATCTCTTTCTTGGTTTTCCCCTCACCTTTCTCCCAGATGTTCTGTTGTAAAGAGTCTCATATGCAGTTATAATTACATCTAACAACCATTATTAATCCTTATCCTCTCATAAGAAGAAGACGAAGAAGAAGAAAAACAAGAAAACAAAAAACAAGAAGAAGAGTAGCAGCAGCAGAAGCAGAAGAAGGTGAACAAGTTTTCATCCAAGTAGCAGCTCTTTGGGTCACTCATGTATCGCCTCTTTGGATATCAGCCTCGAAGAAAAGGAAGGCCCATCATGACTGTATATGAAAGTTGGCAAGACATTTGATGGTGGCATAAGCCTTTGTTATGATTTTCTTAGCCGTTAACATTAACTGAATTTATATTCCTCATAAAGGAGCACTGTATGGTCAGAGTTCCAGATGATGGTCTCAACTCCAGAAGGAACTCCAGGTTCAGGCGTTCCATAAAATCAAATCCGTATCTTGGAACATTCAATTCAGATTCTCAGGGTAAGCCAACTCTTTGTCACATATTTTTGTTTGTATGCAAGCATGAGGGTCTTTGTTTTATTTCACCTCTGAGGCATGCATCAGCTGAACATAATAAAAACTTGGACAGGAAGCATGCTTTCTATATCACTTCAATCAGATTGTTATAACGATTAATATAATCATAATGCTTAGCACACATGTGTCTGAAATAATTGTTAGTTAGTTAGTTAGTTAGTTAGTTAGTTAGTTAGTTAGTTAGTTAGTTAGTTAGTTAGTTAGTTAGTTAGTTAGTTAGTTAGTTGGGTTATCATCATTGCACTCCGGACATGTCCATAGGTGCTCAGATCCTCCCCTCAGTATGAATCCCAACGTCCGATGGCTAATAGTACCAGTTCTATGTTGATTAACAAGTCTTCTGACGTGTCCGGTGTGCGTCTCGTTTTTTGCTGTGCCGATCTTAATTCCCAAGTCTGCCATTCTGGCGAGTGATGTGGATTCACTGCCACCAAAGTCCTCTATCCTTCCCATTTCTCTGAGGGCATTGATAATATCAGCATGATCCATAGGCCGACCGTCGGTAGTGATAGCGGATCCAGCCAACCTGTCAGCTCTTTCATTTCCATCGACGCCTGCGTGTCCCGGAACAAAAATAAAGGTGACTCCTCGCACAGTGGACTTCTGAATTGATTCAAGCCATTGTCTTCGCACTGAACCTGCCTGAACCCTCCGGATCATACTCATTGAATCACTGAGTATACATATGCGGGTGTATTTTTGTGTTTCAAGCCAGGCAAACGCTTGCGTCACTGCCATCACCTCCATCGTCATGCTGCTGGTTGTCATGGAGAAGGCGCCGTTGGCTTCTTTGACTGTTCTGCCCGCTGAGCGTGCTGTAAATGCCCATGCGCTTCTTCTTTGGCGTATAACTGATCCGTCTGTATAGATTAGTGCATCTGCTTCGTCTGAATTTTCACCGATGAGAGCGTTGACCTCTGCATTAACAGCAACAGGATTATCTTCTCTACATCGCCTGTTGAGTGTGACAATACAGGAAAATTACAAATAAACGCCTGAGGCACAGGTATCCATTCTGCACCAGGTATGATGTCGGTTAGGCTGCATATTTGCCTAATAACATCTTCTGCCCGACCTAGCCACGATTTTCCCCTCTTCAGTCTGTCGCCCTTTTCACTAAAAAGCGCTTGATGCAGTGGGTGTTTCTTATCAGCACATATTTTGAGGTATGCCCGAGCCCTCCACATCCTGATCCTTTGGTTCATTGTTGGAAAGTCAAGTAGATACCTCATTGCTCCACAAGATGTGTCTCTTGTACATCCCAAAATAATACGCATGGCTTCATTTTGCACCTTCTCGAGTCGTTCAATCTGGGTAGCACTGACAGTGAGGATGGCCAGAGCGTATTCAATGGGGGAAAGGACCAGACCATAGAATAGAAGCACCAGCAGTCTTTGCTCGATATTGGAAGCAGCCATAATCCTCATTGCAGATAGACCTTTGCGTGCTTTTGTTATCGCATGGTCAACGTGTTCCCTGAATGACAAGCTGCGATCGAACCTCACCCCGAGAAACGTCATAACGTTGGTTCTGATCAATACATTATCACGCATTTTCACTTCTGGTAAGTCCGACTTGACAATGTGATTGTTCAAAGAGAACCATGACACTGATGCCTTCGAGGGATTGACATAGGCATTGGAACCATCACACCAGGCGGCAATTCGATCGAGTTCTTTGTGCATTGTGCTGGCGATCTCCTGTCTATCACGCCCTCGTCGATAAATCAAAATGTCATCAGCAAATGACAAAGTCCTTCCCTTTCCATTCAACTGCTGCTCAGTGATCATCACCGTATAAACATTGAATAAGACTGGTGATAGCGGTGATCCCTGTGGCAAGCCTGGACATATCGTTTGCGGTTCTGAGGACCAGCTACCACATCTTAGTACAATCTTTCTCTGGAACAGGACCGCAGCAATCCAGCGGATCAGAATAGGATTGACTTCTAGTTTAAGCAGTAATTGCATTAAATAATCATATGGTACTTTATTGTAGGCATCTTCTAAGTCCAACACTGCCGCACATGTCTCTTCTTTAATCTGAAATCCCTCGTACACATCGTAGGCGAAAACAGCAGCATTGGACCATGTCTCTTTCTTCAATCTGTACCCTCCAAGTGTTGATGGGAACTTATCATGTAGTTCCAAGTAGGTGGTCAATCTTTGTGCGACAATTTTTTCCAAAAGTTTGCCAACAGTATTCTGCATCGAGATGATTCTGTAGCCGCAGATCTTTGAGTGGTCTTTATTAGGCTTTGGTAGTGGAAACAAATAACTATGGAGCCATTCCTCTTGTATATGGCCACTCTGGATGCTGATATTGAATTCCTTTGCCACGATTTTCAAATCAGCATTCGACATCATCAGCATGTCATTGTATCGGATGCCGTCAGGACCTGGAGCAGTGCTGCGCGATTTCTTGAGGCAAGTTCTTAAGGTGTCTGCAGTGATTGTGAAATCAGTGCCTAGCTCAGTGTTCTCGCACAGCATCGACAGTTTCATCTTAACCCCTATTCTTGCAGCTTCGTCTTTTTGGTGAGTTTGCTCCAAGTAGCGCGCAAGGAGGGTTTTTCCTTTATCAGCATCAGTTCTCTGCCATATCAGGTCTGTACCCTGAAAATCAGGGATACCCCTTGGTCGTGCGGCGCCGTGCATGCTCCGTTGAAGGCGCCAGAATGTCACAAGAGATCCCTCGGAGCAAACGCTCTTGCAGAATTCGTTCCATTTCGCTGTCTTGGCTTCTTTCGCAATTAACTTGAAAGCCACTGTCCGCTTGTTGACCTCATCTTTCAGACTGATCAGGCGTTCAGAAAGTGACGGATCAATTTTCCTTGCCTTTTGCCATGCCTTGACAGCGTTCCTTTTTTCTAGCCACGCTATGTTGACTACTTCATTCCACCATGGTGGCTGGGCCCATCTCTCCCGCCGTCTGCGATCTGCTCTTGTGTTACGTCGTCTGATTTTGCTAATGGCATCTTGCCCTGTACGGTCATATATAAAAGCAGGCACATTGATTACATGACCTTTGTTGTTGCTCTTCTCCACCAGGACGACGCACGGAAAGTGATCACTGTCATGGTATCCCAGTGTGCTCCACCTGCATCCTGGTGCAATGGAGGGAGACACTAGGGCCAGGTCAATTACGCTGTCAGAATCCCCTTGTCGGGTTGCTATTCGGGTAACCTTTCCGTCGTTCAAGCATACTAGATCGGCAGACACTAGAGCATCCTCCAGGTCTTCCCCCTGTTTATTGGTAATTACATTGCCCCACTGGTTTCCTCTGGCGTTGAAATCTCCGCAGTAAAGGACTTTCTTTTCCTCAGTCTGGAGCAAACTCTGCCATTTCGCTGTATCCACCTTTCCATTGCAGGCGTACACATTGACAATCACAAACTGGGCCGGGCCCATCACTCTGACTGCGTGTACTTGTAGGTCGTCATTATCCCACTCAGACATGTCCACCTCAGACACCAGTATGTGGTCACGAACAAGAATGAGCTGTCCGAGGTGCCGTCTATTGTAGAAGGATTGGAAGCCCGCAATTTTAACCATCTCGTCACCGAGGTGTGTTTCCTGTAATACAACAATGTCGTTGCTGTAGAGGAGCTTCTCGAAAATGGGTCGGCGTTGACTGAACGAGGCGCAGTTCCAGTAGAGAACGCGAACATACTTTAAGCTGAGTCTCTCACATTTCAGTCGCTTCCTGCAGGCGCCACCGTGCTTGCCTGTTCGCGTTCTCCTTGTCCGTCTACGGGTTGTTTTGAATTGGTAGATAGTCGCCATCGGACGTTGAATACACCCTGAGGGAAGTCTGAACTCACGTGCATGTACTCCATTGCACGGTTCAGACCCCATTCCGATGAAACTTTCACATTATACGTGAGCGAAAATAGTTAATTTGCGCCATTCGCCTCAACGGACGAAAAAGCGTGCCGCCATTGTGGCTGTTTAATTGTTTTTCCATTTAAGTAACGTACATCTGTCAACAGGAGACATGTCTGGGAATATGAATATACACTTGAAGTAATTACAGTCTCTGATAAGTCATAAACAATCATAAGTTAACAGGCACAGATCACGATCCCTATTTGCCTGGAACAGCTCTCTTGCTGATATCCCTCCATGCCATCATTTCAGCCCAGCCAGCATCATCTCTTTTGGGCTGCCTCTACCCATTTTTTCACTGATCTTTTCAGTTGTCACGATGTTCTCCAATGTCTCTCTTTTCATTATATGGCCAAAGAAAAGTGTTTGTCTCTTTCTTATTGTTGTATAAAGAGATCTACTTTCATTAGCTTCTTCCAAACAATCATTGTTAGTTACTCTAGCTGTCCAAGGTATTAGTAATATTTTTCACAGAAACCACATCTCTGTTGCTTCCAAATTCTTCTTAATTTGTTCACTGACATTCCAGATTCATTCTCATACAGCAGAACAGGTTCTATGTAACATTTAAGCACTCTCTTTCGGACATTAAATGAGAGTGATTTATTGCATAAGATATTTTAAATTTTCTGAAATGCAGCTTTCACTTGACCTATTCTGCTTTTAATCTCTGTCACACATTTTCTATCTGATGATATGATTGTTCCCAGATATCTGAATTTATTGACTTAGTTAAGTCTTTTTCCTTCAACTGAGATATCACAACGTAGAATAATCTTCTTCTTTGATATAACCATTACTTCCATTTGCTTAATATTCAATGGAAGTCCTTTCCTAGCACTCGCCATCCCCACAATATTCAGCAGTTGTTGTTGTTGTAAATCAGTGGCATTTTCAGCTATCAAAACTGTATCGCCTGCATAAGGCAAATTGTTTATATTATATCCTCTAACTCTTATTCCTGCACATTCTCTTTAATTTCCCTCAAAATTATTTCACTATAGAGAGAGAAAAGGTCTGGGGATAAGACACGTCCCTGTCTTACTCCTTGCTTTATCTGTTCAAAAGTACCCACTTTGTTTTCAACTTTAATTGCTGCTACTTGGTTTTAGTAAATGTTTTTAATTATTCTGAGATCTTTCCCGTCTACATTGATGTCTTCCAAAATTTTTATCATCTCCTCATGTTTAACTTTGTCAAATGCTTTTGTATAATCTATAAAGCACAAAAATAGCTCCTTTTGTATGTCCATTGATCTTTCTATGAGTGTTCATAATATGTATATTGCATTACTTGTCCCTTTACCTTCCATAAATCCATACTGCTCTTCACTCATTTCCATTCTTATTTTTTTTTCTTGTTCTTCTCATTACAATTCTAAGTAGTAATTTGATGACATGATTGATGACATAAGTTGATTGTACGAAATTCTTCACATTCAGCTGCTCCTGGTCTTTTTGGTAACGCAATAAATAGAGATTTCATCATTTCCCTTGGTATGTACCCAGTGTTATAAATGCCATTCATCAGTTTAGTTAATATTTTTACCCCAATTTCCCTCAGTACTTCTAATTCTTCTACTGAAATTTAATCTGGTCCAGTTGACTTTCCTTTCTTCATTTGTTTAAAGCATCGCTAACTTCTTTCTTTAGTATAGGCGGAACTTCTAAATTTCTTTCTTCTGATATAATGCTTTCTTTACATCACTTAACTCTATTATGTATTTATTCCATCTAGTTATTATATCATCTTCCTCCATTAATATCTCTTCTGCTTTTGATTTCAGACATCCTGTGTTTACTTGTATCTTTCTTCCAGTTAGATCGGTAATTTGTTTAAGCCCACTTTTTGTGTTCAATTTTATTGCATTGTTCACTTAGCCACTCTTCTTTTTCCTTTATACACTTATGCTTTATGTCTTTTTTTTTAAATCTTGTCATATTCTTCTTTGTCATTCATACATTGTTTTCTGTAACCCATTAATTTTAATACAATTTCTTTGGTCATCCATTTCTGTTTAGCTATTTGTCATCTTTCTGGTAAAATCTCTTTGCTTGTTTGGTGGATAGACTCTTTCAGCATCTCCCACTGATCGTTTATCGTTTGTATTTTTGGTATTGCATTGTACCTGTTCCTCACAATCACTCTATATCGCCCCTGAATTACTTTATCCTCTCTTAGAATATCATTGTTTACTTTACAGATTTTCATCTCCTTCTTTCCCTTCTTCAGTCATACATTTAATTTTCCACATAATAGGACGTGGTCACTGTCACAGTCAGCACAAGATGTTGTCTCCATTCTCTCCAGACAGTGAACATTTTAATGTCTTTATGTGGTTAGTATGGAACTAGGTACTTGACATAACCATTTTGTGATAGGTTATGAATATTGTTAGAGTTCTACAACATTCTTTCTTCTCATTTTAAGGTAGACTGCTTCTTCTAGCTTCCCCCCCCTTTCCTTCATTTAAAAATGATGGCTCAATATAGATTATATTGTTTATGATTACTATAACAATTGCATATTTTTAATCTGGAAAGCAAATGTGGGATGTTACTTATTCAGCCAACCATAAGCAGTTCCAAATTCTCATCCGGATTTATTCACATATCTTCTTAAATAAGGAAAGTTGCTCTTGATATTGAAACAACTAGACTTAACAGTTATTCTGAAGAATTACATGTTTTAAGGGTATCAATTATACGTTGTTGGTAGAGAAATACCAGGTAAACATCACTTTAATCCTTTTAATGTTTTTATAACAGCAATGCATACTACATATATTTGCTTTTCAATTTAACACTTTAATATCCTTTTTCTTCTCGACAGTAATTGGCTGCCTAGATAAAAATAATATATGTCTTCTGGGTTTCAAATTACTTCAAAGATCTATATATTTAGTAATCTTAGAAAAACATTTTTGTGTGAGCAAAATGCATGATACTGGATGCTGTTCTAAAAAAAAATCCACAAACACGTTCAACATGCTGTTGTCAGTGAGCCGCCAACAGGCTTTAGTTATATTTTTGGTCAAGAGCATGATGAATAGTTCTAGATTTTATATCCCTCTGATTCTTTCCGGATAGCTTGTCATTAGTTCTTTCATACATTTCATTCTTTTCTGAACCCTTTGTATGCTAGGTAGTCACTCCTTTTGAGTAATAAATGTATAATTAGAAGATATTAACATAAAAACTAACAGGGATGAAAAGTGGCTCAGTGACAAATTTCAAATCTGGCAGTTATGGGTTGAATTGCCCAGCTCTCTAGCGTAGTTGGCTAAACCAGATTGGGCAGAGACCGGGTGACGAACTCCTTGTGGTCCGAGTTCAACCGGAGTAGGAAGGAAAGCCACTTGTCTCCCAGATTTACGGTATTTACAATGGAATCAAGGCTGAAAGGTTGCGATATCCATAATACCGAGCCTAAGGGTTAACAACTCATGGCTTCTGGATACTAAAACAAACAAACAATGGGTTAAATTAATAAAAATGACTGTTGAGATTCTTCAGCCCAAAAAATGACTGTTGAGGTTCTTCAGCCCCAAAAATGACATGCAAGTAAACCAGTCATTCCACAAGTAGTCTTTATGACAGCTTGTAAATTTATTCTTAAGGAATTATTCATTGTTTTCCCTTGTCTTCAGCACCAACATATTTGATATAAAAACTATAATTCTGCTGTGGAAAGCAATTATTTATGTTTAAATTTCGCTGTGGCAGGCTAATTGCAGCCTACACTTTACAATTTACAAATATAAATTAAATTTGACAAGTTCAGTGAGCACATGTCCTGTCCAAGCAGGCTAGTCTTCTTATCTACTGCCCACGAATCTGGAGTAATGAAACCTCCACAGGTTTCCAATTCAGCAGTGCTGATCCTCGTGTGGGTTCTGGGGTGTCTGGGGGTAGGGGGAGAATAGAGCCACTGCTCCATTGTTGAAAGTTGTTGGTCCTAAGGTGCTGATACTGCAGCCTTGCTGAAAACCACCACACAGCTTGCCAACGATCCATCTATGGCTGAATGTCAGACGGGCCTGCATGCTCAATTTGTAACCCTTTGAAAATAAAGTTTGTTCGTTTGTTCGTTCATTCCTTTTTAAAGGTAAACTCAGAAAAAAAGAAAGGAAGAAAGGAGAAGCAGTGCTGAATTCACATGGAGTACCTTGAGTTCTTGCCTAAACAAATGTTACCTCAAACTTCTTGTGACAAAAATGGTGTATTTATAAACATCACACCCTTAAATTAGATATGTCTGGCATGAGCAGAGTTAAAATAATGGGTAGCTTGTTATCTGCTAATAACCCTTTATAATAAAGTTAACACGTAAAGAGGCTCACACAAAAAATCAACTCAGTAATTCATGTGACGATCTCAAGCAATCTAGGAAAAAAATTGCACCCCTGAGCTGAATGTGGTGTCCTTGAAATGAACTCATGACCTTCAAAGCGCATTAAAAATAGCATGACTTCTTTGCCACAGAGAGCCCCATGATAATATCAGCAGGAAGTGGATAGTTCAGCCAGTATCAACACAGAATGCAAGACAAGATAGTTTTCACAACGGAGCAACTTACTCAGTCACACTAATCATAGAGTATTTCTTTTGCAGAATCCCCTTCTTATCACATACAGCTACCTGAAGGATGCTTGATCTTTCACCACTTTCTATGCCATATGCATTTTTATTACTTGTTCAATGTACTGAATCTAAAGTTAGATTGGTCAATCCTCATAAGCAACCATGCTGTCAGTTACTGTTCTTTCTAAATAACTATGACACATAATATGTATGAGAGTGTTCTTCAATATGCAGATGATGTAAAATGTTGAAGTTTAACCTTGTTCTTGGACTATAGTGTTCTAAGAGTTTCTTTACAGCTGTCATAATTAGTTACTTGGAATAAAGAATCCCTTGCTTTCCATATCTACATAGATGTGATCCTCCAGAAAAACTGTTTGTGCCTTCAGAATTTGACAGCAGACTTAAAATATAACACATTCTGGGCTAAAGGGGATTGTTTTCAGGGCCAGCATGCTTGCTGATTACACTGCCAGTTTTTCTGTTATGGAAAAACTCCATCACTGTGTATTATGTTGATACACAATGATAGTAGTTCATCATAGAAAGTGCATTGCTGGATAGAGAAAGTGTTAGATACACTAAAGTCTATTAATAAATCATTTTTTACAGAACACTACTCTTATCATGGCGTGTTTGAAAGTCTTGCTTTTTTCTCTAAATTCCCCAGCCCTATGTGCTTTCATAGCCAATGTATCTTCTGTATCCATATTCAGGGAGGCCAGTCTCTGCATGGCTTTCCATAAACGGTACCCTATATCATCACTTTTTCCAGGCCACCATGAAAATTAATCATAGCCAAAAATACTACAGCTCTCAGCACAGGATGCTGTTTATCAGCCAGTTCTCCTCAGTGTTTAGATCATGTAGAATGTCAACATTTTTCTTCTTCTTGGTCAATTGTATTCTAAATATTTTTTTGTAATTGTTCAATTCATAGGCTGCAATCTTTCTTCACTGACTCACATCCATAAGTTGCCATGAGAAAGATACATGATCTCAAAATGTTTACTTCAGTTTATTTGCAGATTCTATGCCATAGGTTCTTCACGCTGCTTAATATTTACATGCTAAAACAAGCCTTCTTACTTCTTGTGTGCCGTTGCCATTGTTGTTCACTGCTGAGTCTAGCTATTTAAAATCTGTGACATTTTCTAATTTGTGGTTGATAGACTGTATTACCGGTAAACATTATTATTTGTTTTCTACATTCAGAAAAAGATTCACTTGACTGTGTCTTTGGAGGTCAGAATAAATTCCTATAACCCTGTACACTATTATAAGAACTGTGCCATTTTAGTTCTGGAATAAGTTTACCTCCAGTTATGAGTGGATCAAAGATGTCACATGCCTCATCACTAACTGTATTCCTCATATTTTCAGTATTATTAATATATACAGTCTGATAAAATAAATTCTACTTTTTTTAGCACATAAAAGATATTCCTTCAATAATTCACTTGTATGCATGGCTTTCAAGTGATTGCACAGGGTAGACCGGAATGGAAAAATAGACTGTAAGCCCTATGTGACATATAAGGGCACAACAGGACAATGATGATGATGATGCATGCCTTTCAAGCATATTATAATTTATTTAAATATTTCTCTTAGGTTATTACACATAAAACAATCAATGTTGTGCAGTCATCTGGTTTTGTTTGGTTCTTGGTTGCATGTGTTTAACCCAACATCACATTTTTCCCTATTGAATCCATAGAATTGGCAGCAGATATTCCAGTGATGTCAACTGCAGGTGAGAATCTGATAACAGTAGATAGACATTTTCAGCTTGCATTCTTCCAAATTGTTCTAAAAAAATCATTGTAAATCATTGTTGTAAACACTGTTGAACAAAACTGCTGATTTGTCTCATATTTATAGTTTGTTATTCAGCTTTAATAATTACCAGTATTATGTAGCAGCAAATAATCATTGCTTCGAAAATGTAACATTTAGTTTCCTAATATTTTAGCATAAATACATGCAAGCATGTATTCATCCAGCTATGCACCCACTTAGCCTCTTGTATGCTATACATTTTATCACATAAGTTGTACATAATATAAACAGACAAGGTACTACACACATAACAATATGCATAAATGTACCAAATGCTTTGCCAACTGTTGCAAACTGTCTGAATATGCACTATGACTGTCAGTGGAATTTTACCCATTGTACTGTGAGGCCTCAAGGTTTGTTTTTGTCCTTGTTTTGTGTGTGCGTTTTTTTTTTTTTTGGGGGGGGGGGGGGTGTATTCTACCTTCATTATAATAGTTCTTGTCTTGGTCTTTTCTGTTCTATTCTTTTCTGTTCTGTTCTATTTTTTTGTCAGTTCTGCTCTGTTATATTCTGTTTTACTCTGTTCTGTTCTGCTCAGTTCTTTTCTATTCTACTCGGTTCTATTCCTTCTGTTCTGCTCGGTTCTATTCTTTTCTGTTCTGCTCTGTTCTATTCTTTTTTGTTCTGCTCTGTTCTATTCTTTTTCTGTTCTGCTCTATTCTATTCTTTTCTGTTCTGCTCTGTTCTATTCTTTTCTGTTCTGCTCTTTTCCAGAACTTTTAAATAATAAGTATCTTATAATGTGAAATTATGTCTGTTTTCATTTAGTCAGTATAGAAAGACTACAAATACTTGAAAAGTATTTCTCAAGGAATTTTTTATATTTTTAAAAATCTGTTAGCAGTTAAATCAAACTTAAATTGTAGTAATGCATACACTATTGTAACACATTTTCATAGCAACTGTTGGTTGGGACTTTGTTTAGCAATTTATTTTTAACTCAACGACAGCAGAAAGAGTCTCACCCTCATAGCCCCATAATAATGCATGTCATTAGATCACCAACTGCTGTTTACTGAATGATTAGTTCCTTCCACTTCTGTCGGTCAGATGCAGTTAATTTGATGTTTGATTATTGGAGACCCATCCAGCAACCAGACTTTGTATCGTCTTGGCCTGCCTCTTCTCCTATTTCCCTCAGCATAACCCTGTAGAATTGTTTTGAAGAGGCCAGTAGATTTTGTTACATGTCTATACTATTGCATTTCCATCTTTTCACTGTTGTTTAAAGAGGTTCATAGTTGCTAATGTGTTAAATGATGATATAGCAAACTTTGTGATGTGAACTCTGTATGATGTACCCACGATCTTTAATAAATATCAAAATTCAATCCATGTAAATTTTACCTTATCTTTACTTATAGTAAATGTATAGGAAAGGTTATTAAATGTTTTTGACTTGTGTGAGTGTGTGTGTATGTGCGTGTATGCATATATGTGTGTGTGTTTGTGTGATTGAGAGAGAGAGATAGAGAGAGAGTGTGTGTGTGTGTGTGAAAACTATATAATGTTCAATTTTGTTTATGTGTAAAGCCAGCCATTAGCAAACTAAATTATACATGATCGTCTTATGTAGGTATGCAGTGGTAATTATTAATGTGACAGCTATGTATACACAGAAGCAACCTGTAGTGTTCACATTTTGCCTTTTATGTTCTCACTTATGTTTGAATGATTCAATAGAAAACCACACAGTCACGTATATCCCTAGAATGAATAACCCAAAAAATACTTACACTGTGATACCATGTGTGCTTCTGTTATCAATGCCTAGAAATATTAGACCCTTTATATGGTATTTCTCTAATGAAAACTAATCTTCTTCTTCTTTGTGTTCATTAGCTGTAAACTCTGGTGAAAAGTTCTGGTTGTTTGTCCACTTTTGGACTGCAGTCCTGTTCCAGAACCTGAGTGTTTGCATCTGTTTGACAGGTCTGACTTATTTGTGTGCAGACTGTTGGTTCCTTTCCTCTCAGGCAGATGCACTCTGACTTCAAAGGAAGCTCCCAGTTAGTCAACTCTGACAACACACTTTTGGATAGTCAGTGGGCCTATTCTTGTTTTTCCTTTAATAGGGCCCCGGAACCCACACGGGAATGAAAACATAACATTAGTCACATATTTATCATCGATTTTGCAGATGATATAAAGTAAGAACAGCAGTGACATGCCTGGATAAACTGATGGTTCAGCAAATATTGCATCAAAAGTGTGACTACAAATAAGATATGAAAAGACAAATATACGCATGTTTATTCCAGATAATAATAATAGATGAAGCAGATGTTACACTAGAGACCTACAAAAATAATTACAGTAACAGATCAATTTACAGTTTTGGCAGTAAATTTTGGTAGTCAAAGAAACATAAGGAAAGAAATTATAACACACACTGGTAAGGCAACAGCAGCTTTTAAAAGCCTAAACAAAATATCAAGCTCTAAAGTATATAGTTTTAAAAACTAAGTTATGTATTTTTTATTCTAATGTTGTGGTAGTAGCAGCCGTAGCAGTAGTAGTAGCAGTAGAAGCAGCAGCAACTGTAGTAGTAGTAATAACAGTAATAGTACTTATTTTAACAGCAGTATCCTGTTACACCCATCCAGATTATAATTTAATGTAAAGAGTTTAATTCTTTTTAAGTTGTTTTTCACGTTAACATATGCCAGTAAAAGAGAACTGCTAGAGACATTAAAGGAAAGTTAACTGCGGTTAAAAGCAAGTGCCTGAGAAAACTGTATGCATGCGTGCCTTTTAACTCTTTGGTTCCCAGGGGGTTTAGCACCAGAGGCCCAAGGGGTAGTCAAGAAAGACGTAAAATCAGCGCATCTTGCATTCACTGGGCCTCTTGGTAGGAACCTATGAACTTATGATAAGTTTCTTGGGACTCAAAGAGTTAACCCCTACAGGCTGCTACCTTAGGGTCCTTCACCCTGAAATACAAGATCAATCTAGCTGGCAGACCAACAGGACAAATTTTGATTGTTGTATAACCTGCAGTCCCCTGTGGGTAGGGTTGATAATACTAAGAGGAAACTGATGAACATTAAATGGAATGAAGTCAAGAAACATGAAGAAATAAGAGATAATAGAAGATTATGGGGATATATACTGGCAACATCCTGAGGAGAAGCTAGCAGAGAATCACCAAGCAGGCACTGAAATGGGAGAAAAGGGAATTGAGGAAATGAGGAAGTCTAAGAGAAACCCTAAAATGAACATTGAAAAGAGAGGCCAGAGGTGATAGATTGGACTCCAGACATGAAATCAAAAGGATTCCACAGGATAGAATTAAATGAAGAAATAGACTGTGAGCCCTGTGTGACATATAATGGCTGAACAGTATGATGATGGCGATGAAGATGATCATGATGATGATTATGATGATGATTATGATGATGATGATGATTTTTTTACAGCAATAATGGGTGACTGTTTGCAGTGTATACCTTTGCTGAAGAATTTGTAACTCATACAAATTCTGGCTGCTTTACTTTTTGCTTTTTACACACACGTACATGTATACAAATTATTGTGTGTGTGCAAAATGACAGTGGGGATTCCATCCTTAAAACAAATTGCTGTAGAAGCTGTCTATATGGAAATCTGTTGAATGTTTTTCGTCTCACACTTCCTGCAAAGAAACCAACTGAAATGCTGGTCATTTTTGTCATGTGTTAGATTGATACTTTGTTTATAATTTCTACAAGTTTATACTTCTAATTAAATTCACTTTCCGTAAATAGTAATGTGTTAATAAATTGTGTATTTACTGTAGTTCTAATTCCTTCAGTCCCAAACAACATGTGATGTATGATTAGCACTTCTGTGAATCCCACCCAACATGCAATATATTCTAGTCCTTTTTGCAGCTGGTCACAGCATAGTTAGAAATCTGGCCTCCCTAATATTTAGTGTTTTTAAAAGCAGAACACTGGCAGTTTTTCCTCACTGGTAGTTTTTTCTGTTGGTTGTTTATACATAGGGCATTTCCAGTAGAACCATCTGATTAAGTTTTGTCACAGTTTGAATTTTTTCAGTGTGGAAAATTCTTTGATAGAAGGAAATGAAGAACCTGCAAACGAGTAATTATAAATACTTTAATCTTGTTTTTATAGATGATATAATATATGGGGGATCTCTGTAGCTAAGTTGTTAAGCCATTTGCTTCGTACTCTGAAGGGTGTGGGTTCACGTCACAGTATGCATCATTCTGGTTCATAAGTGTAGCTTTTGTAGAGACTATTGAGTATCAGCTGCTGGGGCTAGGGAGTTTGTTCTTGTTCACTGCTCTTGGCTAGTGACACACAGACTATATAGGATCAGATGAGCTGCAACAGTCCTCTTCACTGAAAATCATGTTTTATAGATCATGTAAATAAATTGTATAACTTGTTTGGTTGGTGTTTTTTTTTTTTTTTTTTTTTTGGTTTTTTTTTTTAAATAATGGCGTGTAAGCTGCGGTAGCATCACGGCTGCTAGCCCAAAGGTTCGAATCTCTGATAAGGCAGATATTTTCAAAATTTACTTTAGACTGGAGGTTGGGTCAACCTTAACTGGATACCAGGTAATATACTTGAAAGAAAAGGTTGCTGGCTTGCTGTAGACCATACCGCCCACCAAGTTCTGATTGGTCTATACTAATGTAAGTAGAATTCATATACCCAAAGAAAAAATACGTCTAGCATTATATACCATATGCTAGAACAGATTAGAGGAATAGAATGTGAACTCTATGACATATAATGGAACAATAGGACAATGATGATGACGAATGATGATCTATTCAGTGTGCACTTGTGTAAAAAAGGTCTTTAAATTTTTATGTTTATTATTGTTTTTTTTTTTTTTTTTAATTACTTATAAAAATGTCTTGTCATTCCATCTCAGCTGAAGATGGTCCAAGCATGAATATATTCCGGCCATCCCGACTGCAACAGAGAAGATCTCATGAAGAACCGATTCTTGCCTCTATGGAGTACCCAAGTGATGAAGACATCAGAGAGAGTGGTGGCGGTATTTTGGAGTTCACACCTGCAAAAGCTGGGCTGGATATGACTCCAGCGAACTTTGACTTTGAAACAAAAGATGAGAAAAAGCGAGCAACCGCTGGTCTTACAAGTCTTGCAGGTAATTCATTTAAAAGGGTTTAGATACTTGCTGACGTTAAAAATGTGTAAAAAACTGGATTTGTCACATATTTCAAAACAATATACAGTGGCTCATATGTTTATCTTCTAGACTGACAGTTATAGGTTCGAATACCACTGAGGATGATTGATAACATTAGTTTGTGGCTGGTAGGTTAACTCTGCCAAAAAAATGAACACAAGATTATGTCCTGGGAAGTAAAGGTGGCCAGTGTGAAACTGACTACATTATCCCTTCAGTGCCAGTTGGTCATAAAAATAGGTGAGCATCACAGAATACCATAATGTATGAAAGATGGCAGAATATTAGACAGATCTTTTTGTCCAGTTCCTAATGCCGACAGAAGTTTTTTTATTTATTTATTCATGTGCGTTTTCTTCTTCTTCTTCAACATTCCAAGCCCTTTAGGTTCATTGCTGCAGATATCATCTGCCTCCATTCATCTATCTGGTTGGCCTTCTCTTTCCAATTGGTAACACCATGTCTTTGCAGGTCTCTCTGGACATAACTTCTCTGTTATCTTCTTGGTCTGCCTCATGATCTGCGACAATTCGCCTCCTTGTATATACAGTTTTTAACCTCTCTGTCATCTGTCATTCTCTCTACATGCCCCATCCATTTCAACCTCTCATGATGCCAATGATCAATGGTGATTTAAACAGATTATGAATGTCATTGTTGCTTCTTACTCTCCATTCCTCGCTGCTTACATCTTTGATAGGTCCAAACATTTGTCATAAAACTCTGTTTTCAAAAAACTGCAATAAGCCTTCATCTCTTTTAGTTGTGCTCCATTTCAGAGCCACATAAAATGACTGGTCTTATCAACGTTTTATATATTTTGATCTTGGTTTTGTGAGATAGAGACTTTCACTTTAGCAGATGTTGAAGGGCATAGTATATTTTATTTTCAAATTGTATTCTAGATTGTATTTCTTCTCGCAGCTTGTTGGAGCAGTTGAAGCTTGACCCAAGTACTTTTATGTTTCCATTCCTTTGATTTTCATATTATCGACTTGTATGTAGCCAGAGTTTATATCCTTCCCCTGTCTTGTTATTATCATGTACTGCCTTATCTTGATTGATAAATAGTCCCATTTTTTTTAGCTGCTTCTTTTAAGAGAGTAAGTGTTTTTACAGTTTGTAGCTCTTTTTCTCTTACAAAATCAGTCACCTGCATAACCAAGTATTCTTGTAGTTTCTCCTATAGTACACTCTATAGTTTCAATTTCCTTATAATTTTCTCCTGGACCAAGTTGAACGGAAGTGGGGACAAAGCATCACCTTGCTTTAAACCAGATGTTATTTAAAAGGGTCTGACTTTCTGCCTTTATATGTTACTATATTTTAAGTGTCTTCCATAAACAGTTTGGTCATGGTGATTAACTTCTTTGGTATTCCAAAGTCATTCATTACATTCCATAAACTGTTTCTATGTATACTATTATAAGCCTTCTTAAAATCCACAAAAACATTAGGTAAACCTCTTTCATATTCCCAATTTTGCTCTACTACTTGTCGTAAAATGAATATCTAATCTATTATTGATCTGTTCTGTCAGAAACCCGCTTGATAGTCTCCCAGTATGTCATTGACGCATGGCTTAAGTCTGTTTAGCAGAACGGTGGATAGTATCTTATAGCTTGTAGATATCCGGCTTGCTAGCATAGTTGGCTAAACTGGATTTCGCCGTGACCGGGTGACGAACTCCTTGTTCACGCTGGAGGGGGGAGGGGGGGGGGAGGGGGGGGGTAGGCAGAAAAGCCACATTTCTCCCAGATTTATGGTATTTACAATGGAATCAAGGCCGAAGGGTTGCGATATGCATAATACCGAGCCTAAGGGTTAACAACTCATGGCTTCTGGATACTTAAAAAAATTTTTTTTAAAAAGCTTGTAGATATGATGTGCTTTTTGGTCACTGAAATATATGTTATTTTATATATTTATAATATCACCACCATGTCACAGTGGCATATAATATACTTGTTGCTGGCACCTTTCCGTCCTTTCAGTCTGCCGTGGCATATATATTTATATATAGGATTAAGCATGACAAACTACAATGCCTATTTTTACTATTTTGCTCCCTCTTGTACAAAAAAAAAACTAAGAAATGTATCCATGTTTTTGTTATTCAGCTGGAGCTTTATCAAGTGTTTCCAACACTTTGATGAATGTGGTGGCCAGTCGCTACGATGGAAGTAAACGGAATCAAGAGCTGGCTCCTCTTCTGCAAGATCAAAATGCAAGTCCTGAGGCTCATGTAGGATTTCTGACATTTATCACTTCTCTTTTCATTTGTGAATTTAATCAGATAGTTCATATCATCTGTCTTGTGTTCTCTCTTGAAATTTTCTGTGGTTAATTTTAAAAAATATTGTGTTTTGTAGCATTTTGTCAGAACAAAGATTCATAATTTATGTTACTAATAAATACTCAATTTTTTCCTTGTCGGTTCTGGAGCTCAGTTTAAGGACAGAGGAATATATTCATTGCCCGTAACAAGTATGTAATAAGAGACAATTAATTACAGGTGTTTTCTTCAAAGCTGGAATGCATCTGCCTGAGAGGCAGGGAACAAATAGCCTGCACAAATTAAGCCAGATCTGTAAAATGGATGTGCACACAAAACTCCAGTTTTGGAACAAGACAGAAGTCCAGAAGTGGATGAACAAAGCAGAGTTTTTGCTGGCTACTCATAGATTAAAATGGCTCTCAAGACAAGTGTTTGAAATTAGCTTCCGCCTCATCTAGGGCCTCGCTATTTAATTCTTCCAAAGGCAGCAGTAGATGCACAAATCCACATTGGCCATGAATAATTATTTAAACTTCTGATTCTGCAGCACCAGCCGGCCAGTCCCTACACTCCCTACCTCAAGTCATTAGAAGCCTACACAAGTCTGATTCCTGCTCGCACACTTTGACCCACTCCTCTCCTGGCTCAAATTTATCAAGCCTGCATCATCATCATCATCAGGTGCCTTGCCGACTGGCGTGGGCGATCATGCCTCTCCATAATCTGCGATCTCCCGCAGCATGTATCACTTCGTGTGCCAACACACCTCCGTGCCATGCAACAAGACTGTCAAGCATCTTCTCTCGTTGTCTACCTCTATCTCTCCTTCTCTCCTTCCACATATCTTTCCAGTGGTCACAACATGTTCTATTTTCACTCTTCTCATAATATGGCCCAAAAATGATGACTGTCTCCTTCTGATGTCTGTGATAAGTTGTCTTTGGGCTCCCGCCTCTTTCAAAACCTCTTGGTTGCTCTTTTTGGCTGTCCAAGGAATTCTAAGCATTCTTCTGTAAAACCACATCTCCGAGGCCTCCAGGAATTGTTTGGCCTGCCTACCTATTGTCCAGGATTCACAGCCATAAGTTAAAACTGGATGTATGTAGCAAGCAAGAATTCTTTTTCTAACTCTCAATGACAAGGATATATTGCACAAGATGTTTTTCAATCAAGCCTGCACACATGTCTAATTGTGACTTCAGCTTGAGCTGTCAAAGACCTTCCTGTTTTCGGTCTGTGACCTTTAGCTCTACCTAGGGCTTCCTGCCAGACCCTACTGTGACACACCCCCACCCTAAATCCCAGGTCAGTCTAGCCTAATATGGGCTACTGGGATAAGTAATCTTCTGGGAAGTAAAAGTAATCAGCATAATATTGATAATCTTCTTCTTCTTTGCGTTCACCAGCTGTACACTCTGGTGGAAAGTTCTGGTTGTTAGTCCACTTCTGAACTGCAGTCCTGCTCCAGAACCTGAGTGTTGCGTGTGCATCAGTTTTACAGATCTGATTTACTTGAATGCAGACTGTTGGTTCCTTGCCTCTCCAACTTCAAAGGAAGCTCCCCAATTAGTCGACTCTTACGACATGCTTTTGGGTAGGCAGAGGGTCTATTCTTGTTTTCCCCATGATGGGGCCCCGGAACCCACGGGTAAATATTGATAATGAACCCACAGAGCATTTAAATAGCTTTCAAGAGAATATTAAGAATGAACTGATGAGAATCATCTTGGTGTGTAAATAAATACATATATATTGTGACATTATTAGGCCAAAGGGACTTCCATCTCATCAGTACCTAAATCAGTATCAAGCACGACATTGCCTGTGTCCAGCCCCTCAACTTATTCTCAGTATGACGAACATGGACAGTTATTGGTGGCCATGCCAAATATGCAAGGAGAGGTCACATTCATGACTTCATCTCCTCTGGAGGTTGAACGCAGGCTAAATGAGCTCTCCAAGTAAGCTTTTTTTTAAATATTTAACAAAATAGGTTGTTTAATCGTTTGGAGTTATAATGTGGATTCATAATAGAGTTTTTATTTTTCACATAGTGAGATTTTGTGTGTTCTTATCTTAGATACAGTTGTAACTTTCATATTCACTGTTTTCCATTTAGCTAGAATTATTTATCATCATCATCATCTTCATCATAATTCTTCTGTTGTGCGATCATAAAATACATATGGCTTGCAATTTATTCTTTTATTCCATTGTGTCCTGTGCAATTGTTTCAGTTTCATGGATAGTGCCCAAAACTCAATGAGACTAGAAGAATGCTACTTCCTCCAAGACCAAACAGGGTGAACACCTTATATGGATTAAAAGAACAGCTTGTGAAAACATGTAAATTCACTACATGGCATTGGGCCAAAAGAGCAAAAGCTCAGGTGCCGCTGGTTCAATAACAACAACAACAATTCTTGGTAGGATACCATCACCTTCTGCTTCAAAGCACCCCAAAAAAATGTTCTTGATAAGCATGAATGTGTCCTTGTTTCAGTTCTCAAGTAAGCTGTCATGGCACCCACCTTGCCGACACTCTGCAGCTCTGTGGCACATCTTGGATTATGTAGTGTGCTGAGCCTTGAATAATGTCAAGATGTGCTGCAATGTCACTTTTTCGTGGAGGCATTCAGTGGCTGCAGTCAACTCTGTGTCCCTACTCAGTGTGCCTGACCTAGTTGTAAACAGTCTGTCATAGAAGTCACACCATTTTGAAACTTCTTACTCCACACATACACTTGCTGGACTGATAGGCATGCATCAACATACTGGACCTTCATTCGATGAATGTCAATAAGTTTTAACCTTTACTGATTTAAAAATGGATAACAAAATGCTGCTCCTCTTTGATGCATGTCAGAAATGGGGTGGCCATCTTTAAACTGTCGTTATGACATCACCATGTTTATCTGTACCATGATGTCAAGGGGAGTCGCTGTGGCAGAGCGGCCAGACGTGCGCCGCGGATCAGAAGGTCATGGGCTTCGCTCCCTGGCGGAGCCGGACTTTTCTTCAAAAATGACCTTGGCTCCCAGGTCGACCCAGCCTTGAGTGGCTGCCGGGTGCAGTCCCGGGAAGTAGAGACGGCCGGCGTGATGCTGACCACATCACCCATCTTGTGCTGTTGGTCTATAAAAAATAGGTCTTGTCCTATATGCCCTATATGCCTAAAGGCGTGGAAAAGTGTCCTTTACTTACTTTACTTACTATAATGTCATGGTTTAAACACTCTTGACATCCTTAACAACAATATTGACAGGTTATGCTATCACACTTTTAAGGTTTTCATTTGAAGTCCTTTCCTATATTGTATACCTTCCATAATTTTTAAACAACAGATTAATTCATTTGTTTGTTTTTTTAACAGGCAGCTTACCCGCTTGGAGCATAAAATGAGCTCTGATATAGCACTAATTCTCCATGTGCTTCAGTCGCAAGGTCACAGTCAACTTACCTCTCCTTCCTCGCCACCTCCTCCTCCACCAAGAATGGGGGATACTGAAACATTCCCAAGCCCTCCTACTATGGATTATAGTAATGTTTATGATTATCCATCACCTCCTCTCACTTTCCCTCCACCACCTGCAACAGATACAGTAAGTTTCACATTGCCTAACTTTTAGTATTATAGAAATTTTGCTCCCAGATTGATCCAGCCTTAAATAGGTTTCATGTAAAGTTCTGGAAAGGAAAGATGGCCGGCATGATGTCGACAGCATCACCCTATGGAGGGCAATTGGTTTATAAAAAATCTGCCCGATGTACGACTGGTGTGTAGAGGGACCTTTACTTATTTATAATGAAAAAAATTACTTTAGGAAGGACATAAATCTATTATTTGTGAGATGAGATTGATAAGTGAAGCTGCCAGTTTGACCGTCTGTTACTGGGTGAGAAATGATACCATCAGACAAATTGTGGAAACAGCAAACAACTTGCACCAAATTCCCTGAGAAGGAGAAGATCAAATGGTTTGGACATCTTGCTAGAATGCAGGCAGCCCGATAACTTTGACAATACAGTTGCTACATCCAAACATTTCTGATGTCAAAGCAAAAAGGCACCAAGAAGAAGACAGACTGATGATATTAAAGACATTATACCTTCACATGGAATCATCTTCTTCTGCTTAGTAGTGGCTATGAACTCCGGCAGAAAGCTCTGGTTATTCTTTCACTTCTCGATTTTGGTCTTGATCCAAAACTTTAGTTTTGCGTGCACATCCGTTTTACAGACTTAGCTAATTTGTATGCAAACTGTTGTTTCCTTGTCTCTCGGGCAGACGCACTGTGACTTTGTTAAGGGAGCAGTGGGTCTATTCTTTGTTTTCCAAAACAGAGTCCTGGAACCCACACAGAAGATTTTCATGGAACAACAGTCTAGAATGCTAGACCACCAAGTGTTCTTCCCATCGTTGTTGATGATGGCATCGCATATTTTGATAATAATATAATATACAACCTTCAAATAATCTCACTGCCAATGTGGGTTCCATTAGAGTGAGAATAGATACACTGCTCCCCTAAAAAGCATGCTCTAATAGTCTACTAATTAGGGATGTTTTTTGCATCTGACTGAGATTCAAGAAACCAACAGTCTGCACACAATAATGGCTAGATCTATAAAATGGATGGGTATGCAAAACTCAAGTTCTGGAACTAGACCCAAGTCCATAGTGGATGAAAAACCAAACCTTTTTACCAGAGTTTGCAGTTAGTGAACGTTCAGAAAAACACAGTCTCAAAATTGTTTTAGCACTCTACATTTAGTAATGTCAGTAATGATCTAGAAGTTCCAGTTCTTCTCTTCCTCACTGTTGTTTCTTCCAAGGCTATTCTTGAAAAAATATCAAGTATCGATTTTATTAAACCTTCTCATTTCCAAAGCTGTTATATGCACACACACAAAATTGGTTGGAGTCTCAGAGGTAGTCACGGCAAAGACCACTTCCATTTTTGTGCCAGAGAATGCAGATATGAAAGCAAATCAATCATTCTTAGACTTGCAGGTGCAGCTGAGTAGAGGGTGGACTATGGTGGAAAAGGTTAATTAATATAATGAATAATCCTAAGTAAAATGTTTGCAAGAATCAGCTGGTGGTTGTGAATCTGAAACTATGACCAGACTGCAAGAAGAGCAAGTAAAAGGGGTTGAGACCAGACAGAGCAACAGACAGGAGATCAAAGAAGAATAAGAAACCAACTCAGAACTGGTGTCATCAGATGCTAAATGCTGCAGGATTTACTGAGGAAGGGAGCCGAGCATTTATGGACTGAATGGTTTGTTCTACAGTGAGGATGGTCTGTTAACTAACTAACTAACCTGACATGTATGTTCAAATTTTGAAATGTTTTAAACATTTACTTCCATTTACAAATGAAGAAAATACTGGGTTATTCATAATAATGGATACACTTTCATTCATTTATATTTCCTTGAATATACATTACATATAATTAATGTACCTATAAAATAGAGGGGAAGGTCAAAAGTTTTTAATAACTAGAGTAGGGTTGCCACCTGCAGAACTGTGTCACAGCTGCTGTGAGTGCTTAGTTATAAAAGAGATGCTTCTTCATGTATAAGATGAGTTTAACTACCACTTAGATGTTTGCCGAGCAGTGGTCATATTAAACATGTGTAACCCCTGTTATAAGCTTGTAAAATTCAGACCCTCCTCTCTCTCTCATAGGTTTATTATTAATATGTAACGTATACTCAATGAAATATACATGAATGAAAATGTATCCATCATTTTGAATAACTCTGTAATTTTTGTTTTCAGAGTACAGTACCATCTGGATCTGATGTCTCATGGATGACTCAGCCAGCATACCCAGACAGTTCCTTAACTCCTCATGCTGTGCCCCCTTCCTCTTCAAGTAGTCATTCCATCCCTTCCCATTTGCCAGATCCAATGTCCCCTTCAACCTTTGCATATGCCCAGTCACAGTCTAGCCAATCAGAGGGTTCCACATCATCTTGCATGTCAACAGCCAGTCAAATGTATCCTTCATACAGCAAGTATCCCAGAGATGGTCAGTTTACATCTGGTACGGTTGATCAGACATCAACTGCCAGTAATTCAATGGTGCCTATATCATCAGAAAGAGTGGAGTCATCCCTCTCGGGCAGTCGTTTAACACTGCAAGACAGTCAGCTTCCACGTTTACCTATAGACTCCTTTCAGACCGCAACTGTGGGTCCAGGAGCAACAGAAAGTGCATTGACATTAGAACAAAGGCAACAGACAAGTTCACAGGGTAGCCAGTCTGATGATTCTGAACTCTATAAAGACACTGTAGTATGAAGTTGTTCATGATGTTCACATCCTGTTGTAATCGAATCATATTTTCATTTAAACAAACGCCTTTCATGAAAAAAACCATTCTACATAAATTGTGTATGTTCAAAGGAATGTCAGCTGATGTAAGCCAGGTTGTATGTTTGTAGAGAAATGACAGAACAGTTCTAAGAATTGTGAAATATGAAATAATGTTTTTTATACTAATATATTTAGCATTTGTTTGGCCAGGTGGTTGTTAACAGTCTACGTTTTCATATTCTAATTGAACATACGTAACATATGTTGCCATAATTTGAGGAAAATTATTAAATGTCTCTTTTTCCTAAATCTGTTCATGTAACTATTATTGTCACATTGAAAATATTGTCAGAGAAGACAAACATGCTTGTGGCCATCTATCTTCTTTTACCCCACCAGGACATCACAAAGCGATACACACCAGATTACACAAAGTGCCACCATGTAGATAAGGATCACCTGTGAAGAGGTCCCAGAAACCACGTTCAGCCATTAGACCATATTTATGACCGGGCTAAATTGCGGCCCCTGGCAAGAGCCAGAGTAGGGCTTCAAATAATGAAAAATGGTGTCCAAAAAGAGATAGCAAGATTGTGTAATGATAATGCTTGTGGCCAAAAATATAATAAATTCTCTAAATATGATCTTAAGCTTGACAATTTGTAGTTTGCATCACATATAGGTTATATTTAAAAAACATTTATATATTATCTCAAAGCAGGTTTTGTTAATATACTAGTGCCATTTGAAACAACTGGTGAATAATAAATTATAAAATAACAGTTAAAGTTGCATGTTTTATGGCACAAGAATAACTATTACAACTTACATTTTCAGGCTCAGAAAGAGAGTCACTTCTCTTACCATTCATAAATAAAAGCTTGTCCTATCTTGCTACGCTGCATACAGTCGTATGACCTAGGCTGCATGCAGTCATGGGACATGGGCTGCAATGTCTTGTGGGATGTAGGCTGCACTCTCTTGTGGGACATATGGGGGTTGGGGTTAGGGCCAGTTCTGCATGTTTTGGGACCATTAAAAGCACTCAAATCATGTAATATAGAACACATGATATCGCGAGCTGGTGACAACAATTAGTAAAATGCTCAGTATTGTTGGCGGTTACAAAGCGTGATACCCCCACAACATAGCACAAGCCTTACAACAGAGCAATTTATGAATGAGAAGGAAAGTCACTCTATTTCTGGGCCCGAAAACATGAGGTTTATCAAATAACTAAAGTAAAATATAATGCAAATATTACATTGTTTGTATAGAAGTAGTATTCAATCAGGCATTTATTAAAAATCCTGAATTTAAAGATTCCGTTGTGTCTTTTCACTGAATAATTAATTTTTGTGAAATGGAGAAAAAGATCAGTTTGTTTGAAATTTAACACAGAATTATTCAGAATGTTAAACAGGATTACGTAATATAAGAAATAAATATTTTTAATAATACTGCCACTTTTGCAAATTGATTTTAAATATGAGACACCTGACATGAGATATTTATTTAAGCATGAAAATAGTGTGTAAGACATTACAGTTTATTATGAGGAGTTATGTGTTATTACAGTAGAAAGAAGTTTAAAAAAAGAACCCGAAAAAAACATTGCAAAACACAGTAATACATCATATATGAACAAGAAAACCCCTGAAAAAGCCATAGTTTTCAAATTCAAATTCTCTTTCGTTGACCACTTTCAGCTAGGTCCGCTCACATTTCTGCTCACTTTCCTTTCAGCTATTTTTGTGGTGACGTTTTCTGGTCTCGATCTCATTTGATTTTGGATTGTGTTCAATATTGTTGCTTTCTATTTGTTGTGGTTTCCGCTCTTGCTGTTGCTTTTGTAATTTGGCTGGCCCTGTGCTGCGCTCAAGATGATTGGATGTTGAATCGATTTATTGTGGTATTCCTTGGCTGTTTGTTGTTTTCGGGGAAAGTAAATTGCCTATCCTAATAAGGACCGGCGGTCGATTGACTTGGACAGGTACTGATGACAATAGTTAATTGTGTGTGCCTTTTATATAATTTCAGAAGAAATTCAATGATGATAAAAAATAAATATTAAGTATTGATTAACTCTTTGAGTCCCAGGGGGTTTAGCATCAGAGGCTCAAGGGGGCAATAATGCAATTTTTTTAATTTCACAAGTGTAACACATTATAACAGGCTATACTAATTCAATTGCTGCGCAACATACACAAATTATACATCAAAGTGACCAGGGATTGTCGAGGAATAATTTTAGCATAGAGCTAAAACAAATAATTGCATTAGTAATTAAAAATTAGTAAATAAACAGATGGTATGTTTACAAAAATTAGTAAAATTAAATTTAAAAATTTCCACTTACCGCCATGGCACTCAAGAAAAACTAGTTAAAATTTATCCAAAATGAATCACAAATGAATATGAACCACTTAGTAATGTATAAGTAAAATATAAACTCAATCTATAAATTAGATTTTGTTCCAGAGAATCTTTTGAAGCATCAGAACAGAGTACTAATATTTGTTAAAGAAAACTGACTCCCAAAACAATAAGTATCTTCACGCAAAATGGTTTATATAACACTCCATTTGCCTGTAATTTTGTAGCTATGTTCCTAAATAATAAGGGGAATAGTGCTAGAACTAACTGACACTGAAGAAAACCGTCTTTTCACTAATGCTTATTCTGTTTATGCCAGCTAACCTTGCTATCATTGTACCCTTCGCTTGAGGTACACATTAGACATCTAATTCACAACGTTATCTATCGAAATTCGAATAAATCTAAATTTTAAAAAAAAACGTACTTTATTTAAATTTTAGGCTTCTAAGGCCGTAAATCATGTTGGCATGCACGCTGAATAGTGCTTGGTGGCCATATTCTTTTCAAACAAACACTTAGTAACTTGCCAATCTCACAAATATACTATATTTTCAGCTTTCAACCCATGTTTCTAAATGAGCACGCCTGATATCAGACACAAACAACTCGGAAGTAAGTTCAAATTGAGCGGTCCGCATTTTACAACCGGTTGGTGGTAGATTAAAAACCTTCACTTGTCACTCGTCGATTGGGCCATTGGGTTGAAACAAATTAGCTCATGATGCGTTCCCTGAGACTCAAAGAGTTAAGTGGCTATTTTTGCTAAATATCCTTCATACAGAAATAAATAAATTGAAAGATGGATCCATGATCACTTAATCCAAAATGGAAGCTCCAGTTTACAATATGTCATGACTACAAAACTATTGGTCTTATATTGCATAGAGATAATCAAAATGCTTGACACATTGCAGTGTAAAGTTAAGAAAAGATTAGGCCTATTATTGAAAAGTATGTTTGATTTTATTTTGGTGACAATACTGCCTAGCAATAGACAATTGTCTGAAAGTTTAGGGTTCAAATCTGCATCAGATCAGACGTTTTTCATAAATGACTTTCCCTCCCAGGTGAACCTAGCCTACAATTGGAACCATGCTGAACAAATGCTGATTGGTCTATGAAATTATAGGTTTAGCACTATACTTGCTTCTTCTTCTTGTATCCTATTTCTAATGCGCTAAAGCATCACAGAGAGGAGTTTGATGTAGTTTCCTGTCTTTTACTAGTTGCATAGCTCTTGTTTTAATGCCATACTGCATTTCTGTAGTGTCTCTTATACTTCCTCTGCCCAATTCTTTCTTGGCTGGCCTCATGCCTTATAGCCTGCTGTTCTCATGCCTAACTACTAGCACTTTATGCCCAGTGCACACAAAAAAGGTGTGAAAAGAGTCCTTTATTTCCTTCATTTATTTACCAGCTAGCAAATTTTTGCGTATTCTAGTAAATTGTCTTAGCTGAGACTAAACATGAAAGTGATATAAAGAAATATAAATTACAGAAAACACATAAATAGAAAAGCTTTAGTTTATCAAGCATATGCGTCTCATTCCTTAAAAAAAAGTCATCATTCCTTGGTTAGTGGTGACATTTGTTAGTTATCTTGTTGGAAAAATGTCTTTGTGGCATTATTTGAAGTGAGAGGTTTAAGTTCAGAGTGCGCATATAACTTGTTATCTTGTCAGGTGTTTTCTTTAATTTATACTTTTTCTGGTGTAATAGTTTTAAGTGTTACCAAAAAAAAAGGAATTTATTATTTATATTTCATCAAATTATTTTTTTCAAGTCTTCAACAACTGTGTCAGTGTCACTGAGATTTCTTTTGTTGTAGTTTTAAATGGCCACACCAACTTTCTTCTCCATAGGCTTGTACAGAAAAGTTGGTTCACCTACACATGTATAGGACAAACTCTTGCATATTTATGATTATTATTTCATGGTGTAATGGTCTGAAAAAGTGAATAGTAATTTCCTTTAAACATAAAATTTAGTTTATCCAATTGCAGTTGCACAGGCCAGAATTGTTTGTATGCGCTATAACTAAAATCATAATGCTTTCATAATTGACAAAATAATAGTATCCTTTTGTGGCCAGCTTCCATCCTAATCCTCAGTCCTTCGATTACTTTCAGTGTTGCTTCAGAAAACCCTGTGTTGTTAGCGTTGTTTGGGTACATGGATTTATGCATGTCATATTGTCACTTTTTGCCACCATATTATGAGAAGAGAAACACTGGAACATGCTGTGATCACTGGAAAAATTTGTGGAACAAGAGGTAGAGGAAGTCAACATGAGCAGATTCTTGACAGTGTTTTATAATGACAGGGAGGGGTGTCAGCACATGAACTGATACATGCTGTTGAAGGTAGTGGACAGGTATGATCACCCATGCCCATAGGCAAGGCATGCGATGATGAAGATACTGGGCATTCTGTTGTCACTAAAGAAACCTTCACCATACCTCTTTATTTATTCATCTCATCTGGTAGTCTTTTCTTACTGTGAGGTTTAAATGTGCAAGAATAACTAAGAGACCATCATCAACTGTCTTTTAAAGTTACTTTCAGAATTCCTTCAGTACTGCTCACCAGTCTCTATTTGTTAATGT